GCACATAGCAAGGTGTTTTTTTTTTTTTTTTTTTTTTATAAATAAATTAGACCAAAACAAATATAATAGGTTAGTCAGGTGATGGCGAAAAAGATGTCTTTAGATGTTTTTTGAAAATGGCTAAAGACTCTGGGATTGAGATCGAGAGGTCGTTCCAGCAGCTGGACACAGTCCAGGTAAAGGTCTGTGAGAGTGATTTTGAGCCTCTTTGGGATGAACCACGAGGCGTCGTTCACTTGCAGAACACAAGCTTCTGGAGGGCGCACAATTCTGAACTAGTGAGTTTAGGTATATTGGTGCAGCGCCAGTGGTGGTCTTGTAGGCAAGCACCAGTACCTTGAATATGATGTGAGCAGCTACTTTAATAATAAAAAAAATTTATGCTTAATTTTGTTCAGTCTGTGGTGTAAAAATGGTCGCATTAGCAATTAAAGAAAAAACACTTAAGCAAAACATGATCAGGTCAAAGTGTCCGAATCATTTTTGGTCCCAAATTTTAATCAGTTTTCCACTGTATGAAGAATTTTTGGTTATAATATGTCGCAGTACTCTTTATTTTACTATCCTCACTTACATAAATGAACTATAGTGTCCTGCACCCACTAGTAAAAATTATATCTTGTGTCTGAATAATTTTTGGTTTGACTGTATTTCAGCGCAGCTTCTGTTTATCTTCAGTAGCTGTAGTATGTCTGTCATTCATTGATGCGTCTCTGACGACTTGCGTTCTGTGTGCTCTCTGTCTTGAAGGTAACACGGCTTTACACGACTGCGCTGAGTCCGGGAGCTTGGAGATCATGAAGATGCTCCTGAAGTACGGCTCCACCATGGAGAAGGATGGCTACGGGATGACGCCGATGCTCTCCGCCAGCGTGACGGGCCACACCAACATCGTGGATTTCCTCACGCAGCACCCTCAGACGGGCAGAACGGAGCGCATCAACGCTCTGGAGCTGCTGGGGGCCACGTTTGTGGATAAAAAGAGAGACCTGCTGGGAGCACTGAAGTACTGGAAGAGAGCCATGGATCTGCGGCACAGTGACCCCAACCACGTGCTCCTGAAGGACGAGCCCAAGCAGCTGGTGCCGGCCTACGACTACAGCAAGGAGGTGAACACGTTCGAGGAGCTCGACAGCTTGATCGCAGACCCCGACGACATGCGCATGCAAGCGCTGCTGATCCGAGAGCGCATCCTCGGCCCGTCTCACCCGGACACATCCTACTACATCCGCTACCGGGGAGCCGTCTACGCCGACTCGGGCAACTTCGAGCGCTGCATCAAGCTGTGGAAGTACGCTCTGGACATGCAGCAGAGCAACCTGGACGCGCTCAGCCCCATGACGGCCAGCAGCCTGCTGTCCTTCGCCGAGCTCTTCTCCTTCATGCTGCAGGACCGAGCCAAGGGTCGAGCCTGCTCTCCTTCGCCGAGCTCTTCTCCTTCATGCTGCAGGACCGAGCCAAGGGTCTTCTGGGCACCTCCGTGTCCTTCCAGCAGCTGATGGAGATCCTCAGCAAGAGCGTGCTGGAGATCGAGCGTGCCGTCAAGCAGCCGCGGCCCGGCCCGGATCCAGCGCAGCTCAGCAAGGTGTTTTATTCTCTTGTTTTCCTGTGCCCGGTTGCATGAAAGTCCTTAAAGGTCCCATATTGTCAAAACTGAAATTTCCTGGTTTTTTGATGATAACTGAGGTCTAGGGGCTGTGTAACTACCATATAAGTTTCAAAACAGTCAGTCCACAGTAAAATGCGCACAGCCTGCATAAAGTAGCTGTGATTTTTCACGAACCGTTGTGACTTCCGTAAAAAGCTGACGTCAGAACTACACAGTCACCGCCTTCAGTCACCACCCCAGGCCCCGCCCACCGTCCCACTCTCCTTTAGCCACACCCCCAGACAACATCACGTCCATGCCATTGCTGAGCAACAACAACAACACGGAAACATGTGGAAAAGGTTAACTTTAACCACGAAACCAGATCGGCCGACCTGTAACGTTACACTCTCACTCAAAGGATGGGCGATCTGACAGGATTTTTATTATGAGGTGATCACATCTAACGTGTAAAGTAAAGACAAACTCACCGTGTCTATCTAGTCATGATGATGTATATACATTT